CCCCCCCCGCGCCGCCGGCTGCCCGGTCGCCTGCCGCTGCTACAGCGCGACGGTGGAGTGTGGCGCTCTGCGGCTGCGAGTCGTCCCGCTGGGAATCCCGCCAGGGACGCAGGTGGGCACCGTGTGAGGCTGCTGGCGGATGGGGTGCCCCAAGGGAGAGGAAGACCCCCGCGGCGGAGTAAGAGCCTCCTCTTTCCTCCGCTCGCAGACGCTGTTCCTGCAGGACAACAACATCGCGCGCCTGGAGCCGGGAGCCCTGGCGCCGCTCGCCGCTCTGCGCCGGCTCTACCTGCACAACAACAGCCTGCGCGCCCTGGAGGCCGGCGCCTTCCGCGCGCAGCCGCGCCTGCTCGAGCTGGCCCTCACCAGCAACCGGTTGCGCGCCTTGCGCAGCGGCGCCTTCGCAGGCCTGGCCCAGCTGCGCGTGCTCTACCTGGCGGGCAACCAGCTAGCGCGACTACTGGATTTCACCTTCTTGCACCTGCCGGTGAGCGCCTGGGGTCTAAAGTGGCGGGATACTCCATTATGGCCCCTCGCCCTGTAGGGACGGAGTAGTTAGAACAGGCAACTTAGTCTAGCTTGGTAAGAAGGGGACCTGCCCCCAACCTCGGCGTCCTTTTTTCCTCACGATCTGCTGTTCCTACTTCAGCGACTGCAGGAGCTTCACCTGCAGGAAAACAGCATTGAGCTGCTGGAGGACCAGGCTCTAGCGGGGCTGTCCTCCCTAGCACTGCTGGACCTCAGCAGGAACCAGCTGGGCACCATCAGCCGAGAGGCCCTGCAGCCCCTGGCCAGTCTGCAAGTCCTGCGCCTCACAGGTACCTCTTCCCCTAAAGCATCTCTGTCTTGTCTACTGTCTTGGCCACGGTGGTGGCAGTAGGGGGCAGGCTCATGTGTGGAGGGGCTCTGACAGGAGGCAACCGAGCAGGTCTGGAGGGCCCCACCACCACCTGCAGCCACGGTGGAGGGCTGCGGGAATGGGCGTGCTAGGGGACACAGCTCAGGTACCCTGCCTAAGACAGAAAAGACGGGCACCCCACAGAGTGACTTGACAGAATTAAGTGCTTTGTACACTTTTCGGCTATGAGAGGGCAGGCAGACAAAAACTGGAAAGGAGAGAGACAGCTGACCAGGATTGGGGACATCCCCAGGAGAAGGCATCCAAAAACAAGGCTGAGAGGATTTGCAAGGTTTCAGTGTTGGTGAGATGTCTATGTGGATCCCCAGGTTTCCAAAAACTGTGGGACTTGTTTCAGGAAGACTTGAGGAGCAGGTGCTTTCTCAGAGACCAGCGGAGAAGTGATCTGTAATAGGCAGGCATCACAGAGCTTAATGGGGGGGAGGGGGGAGGGCCTGGCGCCACCGCCAGGAGCTTGGGGTCAAGGAACGGGTGGCAGGGGCCATGGATTCCGTGTGAAAAGGCTGTAGGAGGTGGAAAAGAGGCCCCGTCCTGGCCCACAGAACCCCAACTGCACAGGCTGTGTTCTAGCACCACCTCCAAGCCACCTGCCTGACGCTGCTCTCCCACAGAGAACCCATGGCGTTGTGACTGCGCCCTGCACTGGCTGGGTGCTTGGATCAAGGAGGGTGGCCAGCGGCTGCTCAGCTCCAGGGACAAGAAGATCATGTGTGCAGAGCCCCCGCGCCTGGCGCTCCAGAGCCTCCTGGATATATCCCACAGCAGCCTCATCTGCATTCCGCCCTCTGTGCACGTGCAGCCGCTGGAGCTCACAGCTAACCTGGGTGAGGACCTGCGGGTTGCCTGCGAAGCCTCCGGCTACCCGCAGCCCTTGGTGACCTGGAGAAAGGTGCCCCAGCCACGCGAGGGCCGGCCACGAGCCCAGGCCCAGCTAGAAGGCGGGGCGCCGGTGCTGGGCGGGCACTCGGCATCCGACACGGGCAGCGGCATGCTCTTCCTCAGCAACATAACGCTGGCGCACGCTGGCAAGTACGAGTGCGAGGCTTCCAACGCCGGCGGCGCCGCCCGCGTGCCCTTCCGGCTCCTGGTCAACGCGTCCCGGCAGCAGCCGCAGCAGCCCGCGCAACCGCCGCTCCCGGCCGCCCGACCCGCCGGCCGCGAGCCCCGGCCCGTGGCGGGCAGCATGGCCTTCCGCGCCCTGGGCCTGGCTACGCAGACGGCCATCGCGGCGGCCATCGCGCTCCTGGCACTCACGGCGGTGCTCCTAGCCGCCATGATCTGTCGCCGGCGCCGGAGGCGGAAAAAGGCGCGGGGGCCCCCAGGGGAGGGCGCGCTGTTCGTCAACGACTACTTGGACGGCCCCTGCACGTTCGCGCAGCTCGAGGAGCTCCGCGACGAGCGCGGCCACGAGATGTTCGTCATCAACCGTTCCAAGCCCCTCTTCGCCGAGGGTCCGGCGGAGGCGCCCGCGGACTGCGACCCGGCAGAGGGGGCAACCCCGGGGCTCCGCGTGCCCCCGCCGGTTGCCTACGAGATCCACTGCTAGGTCCGGGGGACGCGCGCGGATGACGTAGGCGCCGGAGATTGGCCGGCGCCGCCTCGCGCATGCTCCGTCAGTAAAGGTGGAAGCCGCGCACTGTGCGCCGAGCCGTGTGTGGGGCGCCGGGCGCCAGGCCGGGAGCGTTGCACTTGGGAATCCTGGGCTAGCGATGAAAGGTGGCCAGGTAGGCCCCGACACCTCACTTGAAGCTCTTCCGAAAAGACATCGCCCCCCAGCCTCCGGTTCTGCGGCAGGCAGCTCACTAGCCCTGGCCGACCACAGTATAAGATCTTGGGCCTCCAAAAGGTGGGGAAGAGCAAGGACTGGCAGGCAGTGCCGATGGCGCTGCCCCGCAGAGGGCGGAACGACAGGCTGGAGGCAGTTGTTGCCCAGTGGCCATGCTGGGGGTGACAGCAGACATAAGGATAAGGGTGACCAACTTGGACATAAAAAAAACAGCCACAAATTAAAGTTCCAGGCACACTTGCACCTTGATGACTCCCTCCAGCCCAAGCCCATCCCAATGGGGTGGCTGGGTGGCAGAGCAGGGAACACATAAGAGGCCTGAGTGCCTGGGGACCCCAGCCTCCCTGAATCAGGCCTCTTTCCAACTTCAACCCCAGAACACTGAGCTCTCCATAAGGGGATGGGAAAGGCCCAGAGGGACCATCATCTCTCTCAACTCACAACAGGGATCCCAAAGCATTTGCACAAAGGATCAGGACTCCAGAGGGCAGCCAAACTGAGCAGGGTGATGCAGGCCTGACACACAGCCCTGGGGCCCACAGACAATCAGCCAATTATGGAGCAAGTGCAGGGCAAATCGCATGGGGCACTGCAGAAAGCAGGGGTGGGGGGCCTAAACGTGTGCCCAGAAGCAAGGTGGACCCAGCAGGAAACCAGAAATAAGTGCTTTTGTGACAGGCCTCCAGGGCGGGGTCCCAGCAAAGGCCCTGCCTACTCAAAGAGACTGCAGGACAGCCTGTGTCTCACCCAGAGCTACTTCGTCATAGGCTGAAGTAGTCCGCAGCCAGTCGCCCGTAGATGTCTGTGGTCCAGAGCACATGGGCACGACCCGAGGCTAGAAGCAGTTGGTGCAACTCTGCTTCTACACGGGCAAACTTCTCCTCATTAATAGAGGCCTCCAGCAGGACAGAGGCAGGTGGCGGCCAGGGCAAGCCCTCATAGCAATCCACAGGGAAGGGGTGCACCACAGTACGCAACTCAGCCTGCACCGCTGAGTCCCGCAGCAGCTCCTTGAGGCCGGCCATGGACAGTGGGTTGCCATAGAGGCCAAGGTAGCGGAGACTGGCGCATCGAGTAAGGATGGGTAGTGTGGCTAACAGCTGGGTATCTGCGAGCTGGCACTCAGTGAGTTCCAGGTGTAGTAGTGTGGCCGCTGATGCCTGCAGCAGACCCTGGAAAGGCGTCAGCTGGCTGCCAGACAGGTCGTTGCCACTCAGGTCCAACTTCTTGAGGTGAGCAGCATGGGGGCTCCGTGCCAAGAAGCGCAGGTCCTCAGGCAGCAGAGCACAGAAGGCCAACTCCAGGCTCTCCAGGGGGCTCTGCAGGGTGCTACAGGGGACACAGGGGTCACAGACAGGCAGAGGTAGGAAGGGTGCCTACTGAAGGGAGGGCAGGGCAGTGGTGGGGCCCGCTCACCTGAGCAGCTGGTCCAGCCTCCCAGAAAGGAGTGAGGAGCCCATGCTGAGCTCTCGCAGACAGGTAAAGCGGCCCATCTGGGCTAGGAAGTAGCGGAAGTTGTCCTCGCCATCCACGGAGGGCTGCCTTGAGTCCCCATGCACGTAGTGGAGCCTCAGGCTGGCGAGGTGCTGGAAGCGGGCCACGTGTGGGATGATTACAGATAGGCCACGCAGGCCCAGGTTGTTGAAACGCAGGTCCACGCGGCGCAGACAGCCTGCATCCAGAAGCTGCAGCAGTGCCACGGTGTTGCGCATGGGCAGGTCCTCGGCTCGCAGGTCCCGGCAGCAGAGCCGCAGCGGGCTGCCCACGCTGCTTCGGAGCGCCTCTCGCAGGAACGCATAGGACGCCCGGTTTACCCGAAGGTCCACACGCACCTCCACTGGGATGGGGGCTGGGCCAGGCTCCGTGGCCCCACCCTGCTGCTGGGCGATGCATGTGCGGGCGACGGCAGCAGTACAGTCCCACATGCTCATGGTGCCAGGGTCCTGTTCCACACCATCATCCAAGAGTCCTGTCATGTCCAGCACCCGCAGCGCATGCTTCCTGGGAGTAGGAATGGTCTGAGGAAGGGGTCAAGGGCAGGGCCCATACATTCCCCCTCCCAGCTACCATGGGACAGGAGCAATGTGCCTGTTCCTGCATGAGGTCTTGCTAACTTTATGACCCAAGCCTAGACCCTCCTCCAGTGACCCACTTACATACCCCTGGCCTGACGACCCTTCAGGTAAGTCCATACCTGCAGAGGGGCTGTGTGCTGGCCCCAGGCTCTGGGGTGTGGAGCCGGGCAGTCAGCCCCAGGATCACGGCCTGCATGCTCTCAGTGCTAGGCCGCTCCTGCAGGAGGGCACGGCTGCAGTGGGCACACTCCTGTAGCAGCTGCTGGAAACTGAGCAGCGGGAAGGGCCACGTGTGCACCAGCTCGCGCAGTACTACCGTCTTCTTGTCCATGAAGGCCACCTTGAACAGCAGGGGGAAGAGTTCGCGTGGCAGTAGGGGCAGGGCCTGGCAGGCAGCTGGCTGGCACTGCAGCACCTGCCGCGTGCTCAAGAACACAAGCGTGTGCATGGCGCTGGGCCAGGCAGACAGCCACCTGCAGGAGAGGGACTTCAGCAGGGAGGAGAGACCCTAGGCCACTACCAAGCCACACACAGTTGGTAGGAAAGCCCAGCATAGTGCCTGGAACAAAGTCAGCAGTTAGCAGAGAACCACCTATTAGAAAGCACCTATTAGATGGCTAGCGCTGGGCTGGGTGCAGTGGACTGGCAGACAAGGACACAACTCAGCCCCAGCCCTCCAGAAGCACAGGACCTCTTCAGGAAAACCAAGCATCAAGCAGCGTGGCGTCTTTTGACAACTCACTTGCTTGGGTGTGCTTCTGACAGATGACTGTTGCCTTGCAGGGCCCCCCACGGGTATTTCGGGCCTCCCAAATTACAAAGCTCCTTCATAAAGCCTTCTTTGAAACCTGAATAAAGCCTAGACCACTCCCCACCAACCTCTGTCAGCATTAGTGTTGACTGGACGCTCCAAGGGGTCAAGCAATCACATCACAGTTCCCTTCCCTCCCTTCCTCACAGAGGGTCTGCACGGTTACCCTTGGACTCCACAAAACACAACAAAGAAGAGCTGGAAGCACACACATAGTTTCGTAAGCAACAGGGCAGGCTGAAAAGACTTGAGACCCAGGGAGCACTGAGTCCAGATGATGTGGCCTACCAAATCCAAGCCTTCAATGTAAGATCCCCAAAATACTACTATTGTCCAGAGTGTCACCAAGCACGGAGGCCCCTGACAGAAAGCAACTCTCATCTTTGGTGGCCCTTACCACTGGTCTAGACCTCTCCCTCCTTCCTGGAGAGCCACTGTGGAAAGACCCAAATCTTAAGTATGTGAGATTTGGAAGGTGCAAGGCTACAGATTTCTCAGACAAAGCACAGAAAGCTGCCTAAGCAGCATCCAAGAGGCAGAGGTGCACACAAACGCTACCAAAGAAACAAGGTGCATGTGACACGGTGCCAGCCCTGCTGCTGGCTGCAGCACCCTCAAAACTAAATCGCAGCCATCTCCCTGTGAGATTAGAAACTGGAGGCCTATGCCTAGCCCAAGGTCAGCCTGAGTGACAAGCCAGGGAAGGGAGCTGGGGAGACACTCTGGTCCCAGGGCCCTTGTTTTTGCCGACTTTTCTACATACAAAGAAGTCCTTAAGGCACCGGTTCCTGAAAAGTCCCAGACGCCAACCCTCGGCCTCGCTCTGCCCGTGGACGAAATCTCGACGATCATACCTCGCTCTGACAGGACAGACCAACCGAGCACCTGTCACGAGAGGACACGAAAGCAGCCAGCCTGGCCACCAAGGGAGGCAGGAGCCTCCGTGAGACGCCTCCGCCCCTACCGCCGGCGGCAGGGAACGCGTTGGTCCTAGGCTGCCTGCGTTTCGCGAAGACGCCCCCGCCCGGCTCCTCAGGGCCTTGAGCCGCGGGAGGCGCTGGACGCTCCGCTCTTTCACTTCCCGGGCGGGGCCTGCTCCTCCAGGCCCGGTGCGTCTCCCACCAGGGCCTGACGCCCCTCCGACCTGCCTGGGAAGTCCCAGTCCTTCGCCGCCCGCGGTGGCGCCGCCCGGGCTCCCGGCCTCCGCCCTGGGCTCCCAAGTGTAGCCACTCCCTCCCACAGCTGGGCCGCCCCAAGCGATCGGCGCCCCGCCCCTTTAGGCCAGGCCGGGCCAGGGACGCGCGCCGCCCCGCTCCGAACCCCGTTTGGCGGCCCGCGCTCACCAGTCTCGCAGCCGCAGCCACCGCCTCCGGCCCCGCCTCGATCGTCCGTCGCGTCCCGCCCGGCGCCGTGGCGCCCCTCGATGACGTCGACGCCTCCCATTGGCTGCTCTTCCAGGGCCTGGTGGATTGGTTGCCAGGGCACGATGGCCCCGCCCTCGGCTCGCCGCGCGCCCACATTGGCTGTCGGCCCCAGCGTCTGCAGCGCGGGAGACTAGTTGAACTGCCGCGGGCGCTGTGGCGGGGCGGGCGCACCATGGAGCGGCTGCGGGACCTGCGGGAGCGGCTGCAGGCGTGGGAGCGCGCGTTCCGGCAGCAGCACGGGCGGCGGCCAAGCCAGGTGCGGACTGCCCCGGGACCGAGGGGCTGAGGGCGCGGCCAGCTGCTGACTTGTTCTTTTTACAGGACGACGTGAAGGCGGCGCCGGAGGAGACCCGCGGTGAGAACGCGCGGGTCGGCGGGGCGGGGTGGCGCCGGGTCGGTGGGGGCCCAGCCCCCACCCTGACCCCGCCTCCCGCGCGCCCACGCAGCGCTCTACCGGGAATACAGTTCTCTGAAGCGGACGGTGCGTCAGTCCGGTGGCGGCGGCGGGCCCCGCAGCCCAGAGTCGCTCCCCGCGGCGGCCGAGGAGGTACCCAGGCCCCACCACCCCAAACTCCTCCCACTTTCCTGTTTGGCGGAGTGGCGGGAGCCACGGAGTCGTGGCCAGGCCTCCGTGGGGCACAGAACTTGGGAGGAGGACTGGGCAAAGTGGGGAAAGGCCGGGCCTCGCTCCAGGTGTGGGAGGGGTGGCTGGGAGCGCCTCTACCCGCACACCAGCCTGTCTCTGGCTTGTGCTCCCACTGTCTCCTGCAGGCGCCAGAGCCGCACTGCTGGGGGCCCCACCTGAATCGGGCTGCGACCCAGAGTCCACAACCTACCCCAGGGCGGAGCTGTCAGGGCTTGTTCCGGGACTATGGGCAGCGACTCAAGGCCAATCTGAAAGGCACCTTGCAGGTGACGGGTGGGCAAGCAGTGCGTCTATGCTAGACCCAGAGTGGCAGGGCTGCCCATCTCCTTTCTGTCACTCTTTCCACACAGACAGGCATAGGCTCCGATGCCAATCAGGGCACCACTCTCCTGGGAGGGAGCTTCTAGGGATCTCTGCTCTTGACTCTCTTTCTAGTCTAGCCCTGTGCTTCTTAGCCTGCCCTGCGATTGAAGGTAGGGACTCAGGTTTCAGAGTCTACAGCAGCCTAGGGGCCTGAGTGCCTGCTGCCATTCTGTTCTTCCCCTCCCAGGCCAGCCCAGCTCTGGGCCACAGACCTTGGCCTCCAGAAAGATCCGCATCCAAGACACCCATCCCAAAGCTCCCAGGCACAGGACTTGTCCCCACCTTTGCAGAAAAAGTCAGTGATATGCCTCCACAGCCTTCTGGGCCCCGGCCAAGGCCAGGTCGGCTCCAGCACCTGCGGGCATCCCTGAGCCTACGGCTGGGCTCCCTAGATCCTGGCTGGTTGCAACGGTGTCACAGTGGGGTCCCAGACTTTCTGGGGGCCCCCAAACCCTGCAGGCCTGGCCTAGGCTCAGAGGAATCACAACTTCTGACCACCGGTGAGTCCGCTGTCCTTGGTCCTGGTGCTCGCTCCCAGGGCCCAGAGGCTTCAGCCCTCCAAGAAGTCAGCATCGGTGCAGGGAGCCCCCAACCCAGCAGCAGTCGAGGTGAGAAGCGGAGACGGAATGAGGTGCCCTGGGGGAGCCCCACACAGGTCCAGCAGCAGAGCAGCCAAGCTGGACCTCCGTCTGAGGCGGCTGAGGCCATAGCACTTGAGGAAGACTCTCCAGGGGAACCTGTACAGGCACAGCCACCTCAGCCGTGCAGCAGTCGGTCGACCCCCAGGTACCACAGACTCAGCCCCTCCAGTCAAGCCAGGGCAGAGAAGGCTGAGGGCATAGCTCACTTGCACATTTTCCCTAGGATGGCTGGCCATGACAGGGGCAATTACGTACGGCTGAACATGAAGCAGAAACGCTATGTGCGGGGCCGGGCACTCCGTGGCAGGCTTCTCCGCAAGCAGGTGAGACAGTGACAGGCTGGGACAGGTGCTCCCTTCCCTTCTGTCAACTCCGGCATCTCCCATCCAGTGACACTCCTATGTGGGCCCCCCCAGGCACGGAAGCAGAAGTGGCAAAAGAAAGGGGAGTGTTTTGGCCGTGGTGATACCACAGTCACAATCAAGGAGTCTTGTTTCCTGAATGGGCAGTTTGATCACAGGGCACCCCAGTGTCCCCAGCCAGGTGAGAATCTGCCCTGGACGGGGGTCGGTCCAGACAACACTGTGGAGAGAGCAAGGTGCTCTTTTGGGGGACACTTCTGTCCCAAACAAAAGGCCCTTCCAGGTACCCCTGGTCCAGGCCCTACCCTGGCTTCCCTGAAGGAATGTGGCAGGGATGAGGATGAGTGTCAGCTCCTTCTGCTTTGAAAGAAGTAGGCCAGAGGAAGGGCACTGCTGCCAACCTCCTTTGGGGGAAGGGAGGGTTTTGGGCAGTGGTTGTCTTGCCAGTATTATCTCAGCCCAGACTGCAGCTCAAACTCCACTCTCTCCTGCCTGATCCCAGCAAGTGAGGAAGACACAGACCCTGATAGGCCTGAGCCACTGGTTCCTGCGCCACAGCCTGTGCCTGAGGTGCCTGGCCTGGCCCCCACCGTGCTGCCACTCTACTCCCTGGGGCCCTCAGGGCAGGTGGCAGGTGAGCAATCAGCTTCTGGTCCAGAGCCTTTACTGAGAGGTTGAGGTGATTCAATCATTAGCTAATCAATAGCTGTATCTGCAGAGACGCCAGCGGAGGTGTTCCATGCCCTGGAGCAACTGGGGCACCAAGCCTTCCGCCCCAGGCAAGAGCGTGCGGTCATGCGGATCCTCTCTGGTGAGCACAGCTACCAGGGCTGAGGCCGGGCTGAGGCTGGGCTGCAGGGCCTTGCCACTAACTCCTGCCCCATCTAGGCATCTCCACGCTGCTGGTGCTGCCCACAGGGGCTGGCAAGTCCCTGTGCTACCAACTTCCGGCACTGCTCTACGCCCGGCGCAGCCCCTGCCTCACACTGGTCATCTCTCCCCTGCTGTCACTCATGGACGACCAGGTGTGCACACAGGGTCCTGGGCACGCATACACAGCTGAGAACAAGCACTTGTGACTCCCAAAGGCAACTGCTGCTCGTCTCCAAACCACTCCCTCCCCCGGGAGCTTCAAGAAGTCTGTGGCTGCAGTCCCAGTCCTGGCAGCAGGTCGAGGCAGCCCGGCTCCACCGGCACCACGGCCACCCCCACGGGAGCTGTGCTGGGAAGGGAGCCATCCCTTGGCCCTAGGACCCAGGGGTTGGTTCTCCTCTCCCCAGAGGGCCTAGGATGGAGGCAGCAACAGCTGTTGGGTTAGCATCTCTGGGATGACTTGAGGGCGGGCCAGGCCTGGGCTGGCCTATGACGGCCGTTGCTGCTGCATCTGCAGGTGTCTCGCCTGCCCCCGTGTCTCAAGGCAGCCTGCATCCACTCGGGCATGACCAGTAAGCAGCGGGAGTCTGTCCTGCAGAAGGTGAGGGCCTCATGGGCCTAGGGGTGAGGGAGGCAGTGGGCGGGCACCTGGGCTGTGCCCCTGATCCTGCTGCTTTCAGGTTCAGGCAGGCCAGGTACATGTGCTGCTGCTGACCCCCGAGGCACTGGTGGGAGCCGGGGGTCTCCCTCCAGCCACGCAGCTGCCTCCAGTGGCTTTTGCCTGCATCGATGAGGCCCACTGCCTCTCTCAGTGGTCCCACAACTTCCGGCCCTGCTACCTGCGTGTCTGTAAGGTGAGCTGTGTGTGAAGTGGAGTGGGTGGCTAGGACCAGGGTAGGGTAGGCTAGGCAGCCTCACACCACCATGGCCTCTGGTGCAGGTGCTTCGGGAGCGGATGGGCGTGCATTGCTTCCTAGGTCTCACGGCCACAGCCACACGCCGCACAGCCAGTGATGTGGCCCAGCACCTGGCTGTGGCCGAAGACCCTGGCTTCCATGGGCCAGCCCCAGTTCCCGCTAACCTGCACCTTTCTGTGTCCATGGACAGGGACACAGACCAGGTGGGTGTGCATGCTCTGGGGACCCCAAAGGGCCCCAGCTTCCAACTGCGCACACTGATCACTCCCCCACTCCTGAATACCCATGCTGACTGCTCCTCACTTCTGACTGCCCACTCTCACCGCTCCTTGTCAGGCTCTGTTAACTCTGCTGCAAGGCGAACGCTTTCGAAACCTGGATTCCATCATCATTTATTGCAACCGGCGGGAGGACACAGAGCGGGTTGCTGCACTTCTCCGAACCTGCCTGCATCCGGCCCAGGGCCCAGGGCCTAAAGGTGAGGCATGGACAGGGCTGGTGCCCCCATGGACCCACCTTGAGCACCCATGCCCCATCCCACTGACTATCTGCTTGTCTTCCTCAAAGGTCGTGCCCCCAAAACCATGGCTGAGGCCTACCACGCAGGCATGTGCAGCCGGGAACGGCAGCGGGTACAACGGGCCTTCATGCAGGGCCAGCTGCGAGTGGTGGTCGCCACAGTGGCCTTCGGGATGGGGCTGGACCGGCCAGACGTGCGGGCTGTGTTGCATCTGGGGCTGCCCCCAAGCTTTGAGAGCTATGTGCAGGCCGTGGGACGGGCCGGGCGTGACGGGCAGCCTGCCCACTGCCATCTCTTCTTGCAGCCCCAGGTGGGCATCCCCCCAACCAGCAGTGTTCGGGCCCCCAGTGCTCTGTCCACCCTCATGACTGTCGCGCTCCAGGGGGAAGACCTGCGAGAGCTGCGCAGACACGTGCACGCCAACGGCATGGACTTCTGGGCCATCAAGAGACTGGTGCAGCGCGTATTCCCATCCTGTACCTGCGCCAGGCTGCCCGCAGAGCAGGAGGGGGCCAGGGGTGGGGACATCCCTGTGGCCGAGTCCCCCCCTCAAGAGGTGGAGCAGCTTGGTGGCCGCCAAGCAGCCCCAGGACCTAGAAGGGCCTGTGTGGGCCACGAACGGGCACTCCCAGTGCAGCCGACCGTCCAGGCCTTGGACATGCCAGAGGAGGGTGAGGAACCCAGGGTAAACCACGGGGGTGTGGATGGGCCGGCCCCACGTTCCCTGAGCCCTGCTCTGCCCCCAGCCATCGAGACTTTGCTGTGCTACCTGGAGTTGCACCCACGGCACTGGCTGGAGCTGTTGGCGACCACCTATGCCCGTTGCTATCTGCACTGCTCTGGCGGCCCTGCCCAGCTCCAGGCCCTGGCCCACAGGTGAGATGCCCTTCCTTGAGCAGGGATGAGGTTGGAGAGTCAGGGCTGCTGGCCACATGATCCCTTGTCTTCAGCACAGGTGTCCCCCTTTGGCTGTGTGCTTGGCCCAGCGGCTGCCTGAGGACCCAGGACAAGGCAGCAGCTCAGTAGAGTTTGACATGGTCGAGCTGGTAGACTCCATGGACTGGGAGCTGGCCTGTGTGCGGCGGGCTCTCTACCAGCTGCAGTGGGACCACGAACCTCGGACAGGTACACCGCTCCCCACCCCTCCCCACCCCGCCCTGGATGCTGCCTGCCTGCATCTGACTTGCTTTCTGGCAGGTTTGTGGCGGAGCACAGGGGTACTTGTGGAGTTCAGGGAGCTGGCCTTCCACCTTCGCACCCCAGGTGACCTGACCGCTGAGGAGAAGGACCAGATCTGTGACTTCCTGTATGGCCGTGTACAGGCCCGGGAGCACCAGGCCTTGGCCCATCTGCACAGAACCTTCCAGGCCTTTCACAGGTTGGGAGGAGGTGGGCAGGGCCTGGGACCATCCACTCTCCTGCAGTGACCAGTTGTGACAGGCTCTCCTCCACAGCGTAGCCTTCCCCAGCTGTGGGCCCTGCCTGGAGCAGCAGGATGAGGAGCGCAGTACCAGGCTCAAGGACCTGCTCAGCCGCTACTTTGAGGAAGTGGAAGAGGAAGCACAGGGGCCCGGCGGCTTGGGGGATGCACAGGGTCCCGAGCCAGGGCAGGCCAGGGTGAGTGCCCTGAGGCCAGGCAGGGACATGCAGGCACACCAGGGCTGCAGGTTCCCTGGGCCACCTGGGGCTTGCTGTGTGGACACGGTGCCACAGGAGCTCAGAGGAAGCCTGAGGTGCCTGTCCACGCACAGCTCCAAGATTGGGAAGACCAGGTCCGCCGTGACATCCGTCAGCTCCTATCCCTGAGGCCAGAGGAGAAGTTCTCAGGCAGGGCTGTGGCCCGCATCTTCCACGGCATTGGTGAGGACTGGGGGGCTCCACCTGATAACAGGCTGGGGGCGGGGGCCATGACCAGGGCCAGGACGGTCCTCATGACTGTGTCGGCTCCACCGCAGGAAGCCCCTGCTACCCAGCCCAGGTGTTCGGGCAGGACCGGCGCTTCTGGAGAAAATACCTGCACCTGAGCTTCCACGCTCTGGTGCGCCTGGCCACGGAAGAGCTGCTGCAGGTGGGCCGCTGACTGCACCGCGTGGAGGATGTGGGGCAGAGCTGGGATTGTCAGCGGCAAGGACAATGACAAGCCCTGGGCAAAACCTGCCACAGGGCGTGGGACGAGGAGGCTCAAAAAGCAGAATAAAAAGTGCTTACCTTTTTTTTTTTTTGAGACGGAGTCTTTCTCTGTAGCACAGGCTGGAGTGCAGTGGCGTGATCTCGGCTCACTGCAACTTTGGCCTCCCAGGTTTTGGTTCAAGCAGTTCTCCTACCTCAGCCTCAAAAGTAGCTGGGATTACAGGCACAAGCCACCACACCCAGCTGCTTACATTGTTTTTATGGGCCCTCCTGTCCAACGAAGCAGCCCCAACAGCCTGGGGACATGCACATTACATATTCCAGGCAGAGACATCTGGGTCACAAGCACATGTGGCTTTATTGAGCTGTCCAGCTGCCCAGCTCAGAGCAAGGTGCTGGGTGCTAGACCCAGGTACACAAGGGGCAGGGCAGAGAGGACGAGCAGGAGGGAGAAGCAGGGATGTGGCCCTAGCCCGTCGGCCAGGGCTCCAGCCAGAGCACCCAGCAGCAGCTTCCCCAGCAGCTCCAGAGTGGCCAAAAGGCTGTAATGTGTGGCCTGAGGGTGTGGAGGTCAGGGTCAGGCCCACACACCCCCAGTCCTGCAGTCCCTCTGTCCTTGCTACGTATGCTCACCTGCAGGGCCCTGGGGGCCAGCTGGCTGCAGCGCATCATCCCAGTGAAGGTGGCTGTGGTGACCAGGCCTCCCAAAAAGTGCTGTAGACATAGGCTCAGCAAGGCTGCCCCTGGAAAAGCAGAGGTCAGCAGTGCCCCAGGCTCCTGGCCCCTCTCTTCCTCCCTCCCCAAGACCAGCCCCTCACCTCTCAAGATTGTGCCAGGGCCCAAGCTGGCACCCAAGGCATCCAGGTGGAAGAGCAAGGCAGTCTGGCAGGCTAACCCCCCAAGGCGGAGCCGCAATACCAACTTCAGCAGAGGCAGCAGCTCCCTGGGGTGGGGGTGAAGAAATTGGGAACTTAAGGGGATTGGGGGGCAGATTGGATACAAGTGGGTGGGTGGGGCACCCTGGGAAGGGCTCACCAGTGCTTGGCCAGCAGTGTCCCACCCAGGGAGGAGCCAGCGATGGAGCACACCATGGCACCCACACCATTCCACAGTCCCAGCTCGGGGGCAGAAACGCCGCGGTCCAGCAGGAGAAGAGGAAACAGGCTGCTGGCACCCTGCTCACCTGGAGTAGGGAGGTGGGCCATGAGCAAGGGAGGTCTCATGTCTACCTCTTCTCCCCGACTAGACCCTCAGTCAGTGTTCCTGAGCCGCAGGTGCTGGAGATGTGGAGCAGCCTGAGAGCCGTCAGGGCTGTGGCCAGAGCTGCGGGAGGACACGACGCAAGGCCCAGCTGTAGAGCCCCCGTCAGGGCCAGGTCGTACAGGTCATACCCCAGAAAGAGGGCGGCCGGGTAAAGGGTTGCAAGCCCCCGGGGACACGCCTGGAGCTGTCTGGGAAGCCCCACCTCTGCTGTTGCCTGGCTCGAGGCCTCACTCACCCAGCTTGTAGGTGAGCACAAAGCCTGCAGTCCACAGAGTCCCCGGCACGGCCAGCACGGCCCGCAGAAAGTGCACGGTGTGGGGACGCTGCTCGGAGGGGGGCGGCCGTGGGAGCCGCCGCAGGGCTGGTGCAGCCCAGGCCAGGGCCGCGGCCAGCCAGTAGGAGGCAGCCAGGAGCAGAAAGAGCCGCGTCCACGAGAGGGTGGGCAGGAGTGCCAGCAGCGCTCCCCCGGCTAGCGCGGCCCCCAGCTTGTACGCGACCACCTGCACGGTATTGCCCGGCCCCAGCTCTGCCGGCTCAAGCAGCTGCACGGCCAGCGCGTCCAGGGCCACGTCCTGCACGGCGGCACCCAGGTTCAGCAGCAGCAGCAGCCCCGCCACGGCGGCGGGCACCCCGGCCTGGCCAGCTCCAGGCGGGGGCAGCCCGGCCAGCAGCCCACACACCAGCCCCAGGCCCGCTGTGCTGCACGTCAGCCAGACCCTCGTCGAGCCCCGCGCGTCCACCAGCGGGGCCCACGCCAGCTTGAGCAGCCACGGAGCGTACAGAGCCTTGGCCAGCCCCACGCGCGTCAGAGAGAAGCCGCGGGCGCGCAGCAGCAGGGGCAGGAGGCCGGACTGGAGCCCGTAGGGCAAGCCCTGCACCAAGTAGAGGCCGGCCAGCGGCAGCAGCTTCCCGCGCATGGCGGCTCAGGCCCGTTGCGAGGCCGGGAGGTCGAGTTCCAGGTGGGGTCCCGCAAGGCGAGGTCTCCTCCGCGTGGGGTCAGGGGCTACACCCCGGCACGGCTTTGGTTCTGGGACCGAGCGGAGTCAGCGTCGTACAGGCAGGCTGGGGTCTGGACACTCGCTCTAACGCCTTGGGAGTATCCACATCCCTGAAGAACCGAACCCGGAACCAAACGGGGACGAGCGCTCCGGACACTGGCAGCCAGCGGATCCCAGCATGCTCTGCGCGGCCGCAGGTAAAGGGGGCGGGGCCACTGCCTCCCGCAGCTCCCAGCATGCTCTGCGCGGCCTCGGGGGAAGCGGGCAGGGCCACAGCCTCCCGCGGCTCCCAGCATGCTCTGCGCGGCCTCCGGTGAAGGGGGCGGGGCCACTGCCTCCCGCGGCTCCCAGCATGCTCTGCGCAGCCGCAGGTAAACGGGGCGGGGACGCTGCCTCCCATGGCCCTCTGCCCGCGCCCCGCACCGCCGGGCGGGACTAAGCAGCTTCTCGGTCCCTTGGAGCCACAAAGCCGAGTACGGATCACACGGTGCGCGGACTTGGCGTCGCCGGAGTCCGGCGGCCACCAGCTGGGCCGGAATGTCGGGCGGGCCAGAGATTCCGTAGCGGGCCAGAGCGTCGGCTCGCGGGCGCCCCCGGTGGCCAGTCCGGGTTCGAGCCCGCGGCCGCCCCGCCACGTGCGCGCTCCCACCGAGGTGCTGCGCGAGTGAGAGGCCCAGAGAGGGAAGCTGCACAGCTGGGCCGGCCTCGAACGTAAGAACCGGCCTGCACCCGCGGCCAGCCCTAATCCCTCCCAGGAAGCTCGGATCTGCGCCAGGCGTGCGTCCTCCCTGGTGTCTGTCCTGGAGTCTGGCTGCTGCAGTGTCCAGCCCCTCTTTTCCAGCCGCCCCCATGAAGGCGTCCGCTTATGGGTTCCACCCTCTTCCACTCGTTACTTCTGAAACCAGACTCCCACCTTGCTGTGTCTGTGGCTTCAGCCCCTCTCTAAGGCAGTCACAGAGGCATGGAAGGCAGGAGGGTAGTGTGAAAGGGCAGGGCCCAGGTCAGCCCAGGACACGGCCAGCCACTGCCTGTGTCGCCCTTCAGTGTCTGATAACAGGACTAGGAGTGTCCTGCCTGACACGAGCCCGCCCTGCCAAGGGAGGGGCCCACCTGCCTGTTCCCTGCCCAGAACTGTGCCCTCTGGGGCTCCCGAGGCCCACATGAGGCTGTGAAGTGTGGCCTGTGGTAAAAACTATCTCCAGAATGAACAAAAATGGCCCTTGGCCGGTCCCATCTCCAAGTCTGTGAGTCTCTAAGAGACTGGGGCTGGCCCCGTCCTTGGGTGACTTGAGGGCACTGGACCCAATGCATTTTTCCAGCTGCTGAGGCCTCTGAGGGGGTTTCTTAGCTCAGCAGATTCATAGGGCCTAGGTTTTCTCATCTATCAAATGGGGACTATCATACCTACCTCAAAAGACCATCAGTGCAGAGTCAGTGACCCCCCGCAGTGTCTGCACGTGGTAGGTGTTCAGCCATGCTCCCCAGGCCAGGACACAGCACTCCCCACTGCTGCTGGGCCCTACCCCTGCCTCCTCCAGCCCCAGCCCTCCCCTGGCAGTTTCCTCTCCCTCTGCCTCCCACTCCACCCAGCCGCGCCTCACACCACACAATGATAGCAAGGGTGGTCTCTCTGGCCCCCCAGATAGTGGCACCACCTCTGCTGCTTCAGGTAAAAGAGAGCCAAGACTTCCTCCCTTGGCCAGGCAAGGTGGCTCAAGCCTGTAATCCCAGCACTTTGGGAGGCCGAGGCCGGTGGATCACGAGGTCAAGAGATCGAGACCATCCTGGTCAACATGGTGAAACCCCGTCTCTACTAAAAATACAAAACATTAGCTGGGCATGGTGGCGCATGCCTGTAATCCCAGCTACTCAGGAGGCTGAGGCAGGAGAATTGCCTGAACCCAGGAGGCGGAGGTTGCGGTGAGCCAAGATCAAGCCATTACACTCCAGCCTGGGTAACATGAGTGAAACTCCGTCCCTAAAAAAAAAAAAAAAAAAAAAAAAAAAAAAAGACTTCCTCCCTGAGCTATCAAGTCACCCCATCCAGCCAGCACCATGCAAGTTGAGCATTTCCCCGTGCCCCAGGGAAGACATGGACTGCAGGGAAAGAGAGCCAGGAAGGAGACAGCTCTCTGCACCTTCCTCAGGAAGGGCTGTGTTTCCTCGGGTGGGCCCTGTCCCCATCCCAGTAGCTCTGGGGGCTTCCACAAAGGGGTGCAGGGCCTGGCTTTTCTCACACCCCGGAGTCTCACCCCATTTCTGTGTGATCATGACAGGCTCTGCCGCACAACCAGAGGCAGCGGGGAAGACCTAGCCCACAGCAGTAGTTTAGGAAGAACAGGTGGGTGATAGCGGTGGAAGGCCCCTTGTCTGAAGACACCAGTAGTGCCTGCTCAGGGACCCAGGCCCGCAAGAAGGGGACCATGCGCTGCCAATGCTGCCTCCCCAGAGTCAGACTAACACACATGTTTATTAGGGACCTGCAGAGAGGCAGGGGCCCAGCCCCTGCAGGCAGCAAGAGCAAGTACAGTGAGCTCCAAAGGCCCCCAGGGCCCTGAGCACACAGTCCAGGGCAGCCCAGCCTGGCCCCAGCTGGGGTGCTCAGGAGTACTCGAGGGTGAACTTGGCATGGAACCTGGTCAGCTTCTCCAGCAGCAACTGCAGCTTCTCCAAGGGGGGCAGAATGGTCATCCTGAAAGAAGTGGACGATGAGTGAAGGGCTGGGGTGGTGGGACGGGCAGTGAGGGCCAGGGCTCACCGGAAGTGGTAGGTGCCTTCCCGCTGCCCAAAGCCGCTCCCAGGCACCACACAGATGCCGGTCTCCTCCAGGAGGCACAGGCAGAAGAACATGTCGGGGGCCAGGCCCAGCTCCTGGGGACGGGCAGCTGTCAGGGAAGGATACCCAGCCCCCGCTGCCCACCCCAAAGGCCCTGCCCCCGCCTGACCTGAGCACGCTGCACCGCCCTCGGGGGGAGCTGCACGCGAGGGAAGGAGTACATGGCGCCCTGCACTGGGTTGCAGCTGATGCCGGGAGCCTCACTGAAGACCTGCTCGGTGAGCCTGGCCTTGGCTGCCAGCTCTGCCAGCACTGCCTGCCTCTCCTGTGGCCACCGAGGGAGGGCCCATCAGGGTAGGGCACTTGGCATCCCCGGCCCGGCAGCCCACCCTCATTAGGTCATCTGGACCCCTTAGCGCCTGCAACTCACAGCCTGGAACTGCATGAAGGAGGGGTCGGTGGGCGCGGGTGGGCTGACCACCAGGTCCAGCAGGGCCTGGCCTGGCACCGGTGGGCACAGCCGCACGCTCATCAGTTTAAGCATCTGCTGCTGCACCGCAGGGTCCATGTTCACCACCTCCACGTAGCCACCGCGGAACCCACACCTGCCAGGCAAGGGGCACATCCAGGCTTGGTGGGGAGGGGTGGCCCAGCGCGTGAAGTGGGCCAAGCCGTGCCATGGGAGGCTCCACCCGCCTTGCCTGCACGCACTCGCCCATGTAGCCCTTGGAGGTGGAGTGGAAGGAGGCGAGCTCCTGCTGCACGGCATAGGGTGGCCCCATCTCCATGAGCACCTTCTTGAAAGAGTGGAACTGTGAGCCCGCCGCGTACACGTTGTCCTGGTATACCTGGAAGGGCGAGAGGTGTCACGTCATGGGGGCCAGCTGCTACCCTGCTTCCCACCCCCCGTGGCGCGCACCTCGTCAGCCAGCAGAAAGAGCCGCTCTTGGAAGGCGAAGCGGATCACGGCCTCGATGCACTCACGGGTCTGCACCTGCCCTGGGGTGCGGGGGATGTAGCAGGGCTGGGTGAGCCCGGGGACGGAACTGCCCTCCAATGGGCAGCCAGGGGCCGGCATGGGTGCGGGAGGAGCAGAGCGGGGCTGGGTGAGGCAGGGAACGCACCAGTGGGGTTGCCAGGGTTGATGACACAGAGCGCGCGAGGGCGGCAGTGGTCACGTGCCTGGCACAGGGCGCGGTGAAGCTCAGCCACGTCCAGCGCCCAGGCACGCTCCTCATCCAGGTAGTAATCCACCTGCACCATGCCCAGCTCTGCCAGTGTGGCCGAGTAGAGTGGGTACTGGGGGATGGGGATGAGCACGCCCGTGCGCGTGTGGCCCTCACCAGCCACCAGCAGCTTCAGGACCGTCTGCAGGGAGTAGGGGAAGGAGAGGAAGGCAGGGTTGGTGGGGCCTAGGGCTGCACCCGTCCCCACCCTGGTGCCCCCTCTGTAGTGTCAGGCATGTCTTCCTGCCCAGGTCCGGCCTACCACGATGGCATCACTGGCCCCTGTGGACAGGAAGACGTTGTGGGGATCAGCAGGAATGCCTCCGTCTCGCCTCTCAATGTACTGCGCCACGTCCTCCCGGATCAGCTGGATGCCAGAGCTGATGCTGTAGGCCCCTGAACCCAGGGGCAGAGCAGGATGGGAAGCACAGGTGAGGTTCTCTGCAGCCAGGCCAGGCACAGCGGCTCATGCCTGTAATCCCAGCATTTTGGAAGGCAGAGGTGGGCAGACCACAGGTCAGGAGATGAAGACCATCCTGGCCAACATGGTGAAACCCCATCTCTACTAAAAATACAAAAATTAGCTGGGCGTGGTGCGGCACACCTGTAACCCCCGCTACTCAGGAGGCTGAGGCAAGAGAATCTCTTGAACCAGGGAGTCGGAGGTTGCCGTGAGCCAAGATTGCACCACTGCACTGCAGCCTGGGGACAGAGTGAGACTCCTCTTCCTCAAAAACAAAATTCTCCTCAGCCCTCCCAAGGGACTTCCCTCCTCCAGCGGGCAGATCTGCCCTCTCTGCTTCCTCTGGCCCTAGCTCTCACCCAGGCTGTGGCCCCCGCATGCCTGCAGGATGCGCTCCGCCCTTTTCTTGGCATCATCAGGGAAGTTGGGGCTGTTCAGAAGATCAGGGTTGACACAGAGGGCCAGGACCTGGGAAGACGGAGTGCTGAGGCAGGGGCACACAGGCAGGAGGGGCGGGGGGTGGTGTTGGGCAATGCAGGAGCCTCACCTGGCGCAGGAAGGTGATGGGCCTCTGCCCCATAGCCTGTGCATCTCCGATGTTGGCACGGATGACCTCAGTGAAAGGCTTCTTCACACCCTGGAAGGAGAGGGGAGGGGAGCAGGCAGGGAGGCTGTGCCCTACCTAACCTTTCAGCCCCGGTCCCATGTGTCAGTGGGGCTGGGCCAACCCACCACCAGTGTGACCTGGAGGG